TCAACAACTACCTGCTCGTCTGAAGCATGGTGATCACTTCCTGGTAAAACTGCCTGCTACTGCTTTCAAGAAAAAGGCTCAGAAGAGGTGTTACGTCTGTGCACATACAAAAAAACGCACACAACAACGCAGAGACACTCGTTTTATGTGTGAGGAGTGCAAAACTCCACTGTGCATGACACCATGTTTCAAAGAGTTCCACAGGCTGCAGAACTTCTAGAAACATTCCCTGTGACTGTATATGTGTATATAAAATATAGAAAAATAGTAATAAACAACATTTCATATCGTTTGTTTGTGTAAATATTTTCTGTAAACAAAATAATGACAACAGTGTTTACGCCCTTATTGTGTAGTATTGAAAAAGAAATAACTTACAAAATACTGATCATGTTGGCCTCAGAGGCCATAAAAGTTACTCAGAAAAAGAAAAATTGAAAAATAATTGAAAATAGTACATAAAAAAGTAAATAGAAAAATACCGGGTGACGGCAGTCGGCGATGTTACCATATGTTGTTCAAATTTTGGCAAATTTCACACCTCCATATCTCGGTAAGTATTGACGTTAAAATTTTTTTGTTTAGCCTATAATGTTTAGAAAAAAAAACTCTATTTTTTCATAAGAAAAAATAATTTTTTTTTTTTTTGAAATTTGGCCGACCCTGAGAACGAGTTTCGAAGAGGGCCTGTCGACCCTCAAAGGGTTAAACTAGGAATATACAGTGGACCCTCGCCTAACGATGGTCCACGTGCGGCCTGAGCCAGCCTCACTTGTTCCGTGGGTGGCAGTGTTTACAAGCCAGCCTCTGCGGTCACATCCAAGCATACAATCGGAACATTTCGTATTATCACACCGTTTTTAGTGATTTCACCTGCAAAATAAGTGACCATGGGCCCCAAGAAAGCTTCTAGTGCCAACCCTACAGGAATAAGGGTGAGAATTACTATCGATATGAAGAAAGAGATCATTGCTAAGTATGAAAGTGTAGTGCGTGTCTCCGAGCTGGCCAGGTTGTATAGTAATCCCCAATCAACCATCGCTACTATTGTGGCCAAGAAAACGGCAATCAAGGAAGCTGTTCTTGCCAAAAGTGCAACTTTGTTTTCGAAACAGAGATCGCAAGTGATAAAAGATGTTGACTGTTAATGGTGTGAATAAATGAAAAACAGATAGCATGAGATAGCATCTCTCAAGCGATCATAAGTGAAAAGGCTAGGAAGTTGCATGACGATTTAATTAGAAAAATGCCTGCAACTAGTGGTGAAGTGAGTGAATTTAAGGCCAGCAAAGGTTGGTTTGAGAGATTTAAGAAGCGTAGTGGCATACATAGTGTGATAATGCATGGTGAGGCTGCCAGTTCGGACCACAAAGCAGCTGAAAAATATGTGCAGGAATTCAAGGAGTACATAGACAGTGAAGGACTGAAACCTGAACAAGTGTTTAATTGTGACAAAACAGGCCTGTTTTGGAAGAAAATGACAAGCAGGACCTACATTACTGAGGAAAAGGCACTCCCAGGACATAAGCCTATGAAAGACAGGCTTACTCTGTTGATGTGTACCAATGCTAGTGGTGATTGCAAAGTGAAGCCTTTATTGGTGTATCACTCTGAAACTCCCAGAGCGTTCAGGCAAAAGAATATCCTCAAGGCTAATTTGCGTGTGCTGTGGAGGGCAAACAGTAAGGCATGGGTCACTAGGGACTTTTTCTATGACTGGTTACACCATGCATTTGCCCCCACTGTGAAAAATTACCTAATTGAAAATAAATTTGACCTTAAGTGCCTCCTGGTATTAGACAATGCTCCTGGTCATCCTTCAGACGTGGCAGAGCGACTTTCTGCAGACATGAGCTTCATTAAGATCAAGTTTTCGCCTCCTAATACCACTCCTCTCCTGCAGCCCATGGACCAGCAGGTTATTGCAAACTTCCAAAAACTGCACACAAAAGCTCTGTTTGAAAGGTGCTTTGTAGTAACCTCAGAAACTCAATTGACTCTAAGAGAGTTTTGGAGAGATCACTTTAATATCCTCAATTGTGTAAACCTTATAGGTAAGGCTTGGGAGGGAGTGACTAAGAGGACCTTGAACTCTGCTTGGAAGAAACTGTGGCCAGAATGTGTAGACCAAAGGGATTTTGAAGGATTTGAGGCTAACCCTGAGAAGTGTATGCCAGTTGAGGAATCAATTGTGGCATTGGGGAAGTCCATGGGGTTGGAGGTTAGTGGGGAGGATGTGGAAGAGTTGGTGGAGGAGGACAATGAAGAACTAACCACTGATGAGCTGCTAGATCATCTTCAACAGCAAGAGGCCACACCTGAGGAAACTACTTCGGAGGAGGGGAGAGAGAAATTGAAGAAGTTGCCTACTTCTAAGATTAAGGAAATACGTGCAAAGTGGCTTGAAGTGCAAACCTTTATGGATGAAAATCACCCTCACACAGCTATTGCAAGCCATGCTGGTGACTATTACACTGACAATGTTGTGAAACACTTTAGGAAAGTCATAAAGGAACGAGAGGTACAGGCCTCTATGGACAGATATGTTGTGTGACATAAGTCCAGTGACTCTCAAGCTGGTCCTAGTGGCATTAAAAGAAGAAGGGAAGTAACCCCAGAAAAGGACTTGCTACCTCAAGTCGTAATGGAAGAGGATTCCCCTTCTAAACACTAAGACCATCCACACTCTCCCCTCCTCCCATCCCATCAATCATCACCAGATCTTCAATAAAGGTAAGTGTCATGTAACTGTGCATGTCTTCTTCAGTTTGTGTGTATTAAAATTAATATTTCAAGTGGTAAAAAAAAAAATTTTCATACTTTTGGGTGTCTTGCATGGATTAATTTGATTTCCATTATTTCTTACGGGGAAAATTAGTTCGCCTAACGATAATTTCGCCTAACATTGAGCTCTCAGGAACGGATTAATAGTGTTAGGCGAGGGTCCACTGTATAGTGGTATGGGTTTTGATGAAAATACAGTGAAGTCCCAGTATAGTAAAACTATGAGTTCTAGGGGAACTAGTAATAGGAAGAATGAGGTGGATATTGGAAAGCCAATGGCACTAGGTGACAAGGACAGTAATACTTTTAGTGAAAAAACAGTTATGAGCAGGAAGGGTAAAGAGAAAGGAGGGTCTTTAAAATTATATTATGCTAATAGCCGTAGTGCTAGGAATAAGATGGATGAGTTGAGATTAGTTGCTAGTGCAGGTAACATTGATGTATTTGCAATCACTGAGACATGGTTTAATTCCAAAAGTCAGGACATGCCTTCGGAATGTCACATTCAGGGTTTTAAATTGTTCCAAGTAGATAGAAATATCGGTAAGGGAGGTGGGGTGGCACTGTATGTCCGAGATCACTTGAACTGTTGCATAAAAACGGGTATTAAGTCTGAGGTAACACATACAGAGTCTGTCTGGATAGAATTTTCTAGGAGTGATATACCGTCACCCAAACTTAGATAGGGACCGAGGGAAATTACTGTGGGAGGAAATTGTTAAGGCCACAAGGCACGATAATGTAGTAATTCTAGGGGACTTAAACTTTAGTCACACTGATTGGAATTTCTTGACTGGGAATTTAGAATCAAATGACTTCTTAGAAGTAGTTCAGGAATGCTTTTTGAAGCAGTTTGTGACAGAACCTACAAGGGGAAATAACCTTCTTGATTTGGTTCTGGCGAACAAGGAAACCCTTGTTAATAATTTAGAAATTAATGAGGAACTCGGCACAAGCGATCACAAATCTTCAGCATAGAATGGAAGTATAATAGTAGGGACAACTCAGTAACAGTTCCAGATTTTCGCTTAGCAGATTACAATGGGCTTAGAGAACACTTATCATCTGTTGACTGGGGTAACAAAGAGCGCTATCAATATGACAGTTTTCTGAACACCATACATGCTGCTCAAAGAACGTTTATCCCGTATAAAGAAATTAGATCATATAGAAATGACCCAAAATGGATGAATAATAGGCTCAAATATCTACCAGGGCATAAGAAAGGAATTTATAGGCATATCAAAAGAGGTGAGGGTCATCTTATGAATCAGTATGTTGACATAAAGAGGGACGTTCAAAAGGGGATAAGAAAAGCTAAAAGGGACTATGAAATTAAAGTTGCTAGGGATTTGAAAACTAACCCAAAAAGTTTTTTTCCAGGTGTGTAGAACGAAAGTTAGAGATAAGATAGGTCCCCTAAAAATAACTATGGGCATCTTACTGACAAAGAGAATGAAATGTGCTCAATTTTAAATAATTATTTCCTCTCGGTTTTTACACAGGAAGACACTAACAATATTCCAATAATTAATATTTATAGTGGGCCTGCAGAAGATAAATTATGTAACATCACAGTCACTAGTGAAATGGTTATGAAACAAATAGACCGACTGAAGCAAAATAAGTTGCTGGGTCCTGATGAGCTTTTTTCAAGGGTTCTTAAGGAATGCAAAATGGAACTCTGTGAACCATTAACTAATATTTTTAATTTATCTCTTCAAACAGGTGTAGTGTCTAATATGTGGAAGATGGCTAATGTAATTCCTATTTTTAAAGCAGGGGACAAGTCGTTACCGTCAAATTACCACCCAATAAGCCTGACGTCAATTGTAGGCAAATTACTAGAGTCAATTATAGCTGAGATTATAAGAAGCCATGTCGATAAGCATAGCTTGATTAATGATACTCAGCATGGATACACAAGAGGTCGTTCTTGTCTAACTAATTTATTAACTTTCTTCAGTAAAGCTTTTGAGGCTGTTGACCACGATAAAGAATTTGATATTATTTACTTAGATTTTAGTAAGGCTTTTGATAGAGTTCCGCACCAAAGACTGTTAAAGAAAGTGACAGCTCATGGCACTGGGGAAAGGGTGCTCTCATGGATCGAATCATGGCTCACAGACAGGAAGCAGAGTGTGTCCATAAATGGGGTTAAATCCGAGTGGGATCTGTAACAAGTGGCATTCCACAGGGATCAGTCTTGGGCCCGTTGTTGTTTATAATACATATCAATGATCTTGACGAGGGAATTACTAGTGAAATGAGCAAATTCGCCGATGACACAAAGATAGGTAGGATAACTGATTCAAACGTAGATATCAGGGAACTTCAGGAGGATTTAGACAAACTCAATACCTGGTCAGCAAAGTGGCACATGCAGTTCAATGTAGATAAATGCAAGGTTCTGAAGCTCGGGAGTGTCCATAATGTAGAACTTAGCCGTACAGATTGTGAAAAGGACTTGGGGGTTATGGTGAGCAGTAACCTTAAACCAAGACAGCAGTGTGTATGTAATAGGGCAAATAGATTATTGGGATTTATATCAAGAAGTGTAAGCAACAGAAGTCCAGAGGTTATACTGCAGCTTTATACATCATTAGTAAGGCTTCACCTAGATTATGCAGCTCAGTTCTGGTCTCCATATTACAGAATGGACACAAATTCGTTAGAAAACATTCAGCGTAGAATGACTAAATTAATACACAGCATTAGAAATCTTCCTTATGAAGAAAGATTGAAGACTCTTAAACTACATTCACTTGTTAGACGGATAATGAGGGGAGACATGATCTAAGTGAATAAGTGGAAGATAGGTATTAGGGGATATTAATAAGGTCTTGAGGATATCTCTCCAAGAGAGAACCTGCAGTAATGGATTTAAATTAGACAAGTTTAGATTTAGAAAGGACATAGGAAAGTATTGGTTTGGAAATAGGGTAGTTGATAAGTGGAACAGTCTACCTAGTTGGGTTATTGAGGCTAGGACTTTAGGTAGCTTCAAATTTAGGTTGGATAAATATATGAGTGAGAGGGGTTGGATTTGAGTGGGACTTGCAAATGAGTGGATAGAGTTATCAGACCTTATTTCTTGGGGAGCATTGAAAATTGGGTTGGGCAAATGTTTTGTTAGTGGGATGGATTGTAAAGGACCTGCCTAGTATGGGTCAACAGGCCTGCTGCAGTGTTCCTCCTTTCTTATGTTCCAAGAGAGAGATATAAAAAAGACCTGGAAAACACTTTCCCAGATTCTGGGGACCCACAAACTGAAAAAAAACAAGAATATTGTCCTAACTAAACCTCATGAAACACCACTGCATCCCAATGATACAGCTAACAAGAAAAACGACTTCTTCTCAAACATAGGATCTAATCTCGCCAGTAAAATCCCACGTACCAATGCCCGTGCCAGGGACTACCTAGATGGGAATTTCCAAAATTCCTTCTATCTTGTACCAACTGAGCCCACGGAAGTCACTGCGATCATAAAGTCACTTAAAAATAACTCAGGGAATCTGTCTCATGTCCCACCATTATTGAACAAGCGAGCGGCCCATGTCCTTTCGCATGCTATTACATTACTTTTTAACAAGTCACTAGAAACTAGCACTTTCCCGACACTACTCAAGATAGCAAGGGTTACACCAATACATAAAGGTGGTGACCCTACAGATGTAAACAACTATAGGCCAATATCAAACTTACCATTGCTATCCAAAATCTTCGAGAAACTCGTGCACAGGAGACTATATTCATTTATAACGTCACAAAACATACTCAACCCCTGCCAATTGTATCACACTTATGGGAGAGCTGTAGTAGTCTTCGTTGGTTTGGAGGTGGTGGAGTATCTGGTTGTAGGAGGGAGTGGTCTTTCTTCGCTTTGGTACGATACAGTGTTGTCTTGGATATGTTGGATGAGTTCTAGGCGAGTCATGCTTGCAGGGTATAGCCTCGTGGTGTAGAATACGAGTCCTTTATGTTTAAAGCATGGTGTTCCAGGTAATCGACGTGAGCTAAGTAGAAAAGGCGGTGGTGGAGTAGAGAAGGCGGTGGTGGAGTAGAGGAAGGTGGTGTTGCTTCATTTTCAACTTCAGTAGACGAATTAGAAGATGTTTCTGGTGGTAAGGCTTCTGATTGGTTGGATTCAGTGAGAGGTGGTGGCGGTGGAGGCTTCTCATTGGTCGTTGTTGGATTGACGTCACTAGTTGGTGGTGTTGATGGAACTTCTGCAGAAGAGTTGGCGATTAAGTTTTTGGTGAATTTGAGAATTTCTTCAGAAGGTGGAGATGCGGGAAATGTAAATGAAGGCAAGTTATTTAATGCAAATAACTCGTTGATGGTAGAGTTAAATGATCCAGGTACAGCCATGTTCTGCATGTGAGCGTATAATAAACAGTAGTGGATCTTGGTTACGTCACATGTTGGAGGAGTGATGACGGTGGAGGAAGGCTGAGTAGATGCTTGAAGTATTCTTGGAGACGACTGTTGAGTAGCTTGTAGAATCTTGGATGTTGTAGATTGAATCTTGGCAATTGCAGCGTATGTAGGAGAGGTTCCTGATGAATTCTTTGTTTCTTCCTTTAGTTTCTTAGAAAGGATATCCTTTCGCACTGGACACTTGGCTGCAAGAGTATGGTGATCACTCTTACAGTTGATGCAAGTGGGAGCAGCAGTGGAAGTGCAAGAAAGAAAATCATGTCCTGCAGACCCACAGGTGGAACATATCTTCTTATTCTTCACGTGGCAGTCGGCAGTAGAGTGACTGTACGAGTAACATGTCCAGCAAGGTGTTATGTACATGAAGCGTTCAGGTTCAATCTGTCAAGGGTTGATGTAGTAGTAAAAGATGGCCAGGCCATCAGACAGTGCTCTGGTCGCCATGGTAACGTCCAGGAATGTGACCTTGAGCATTGAGGAAGCGTTGGGGATCTTCACTACATTGTCAATCTTGGCCCAGGTGTTGAGGTCTTCAAGTGATGTAGTAATTTCCTGGATGGTCATGTTCGTGATCAGCTTGTCAAGACGTTTCATAAACACTGAACGTTTTGCAAGCATGTATGGTGACGTAGAGATGGTAAAGCCTCAGTCTTCTAAGGTCTTCATGGCAGTAGGTGTAAGCACCTTGTCAGCTTCAGTATCATCAAGAAAAGTGACGATGAAAGCTTCTTTCAGTGACGTGATCTTGGAGAACTTTGCGTAAATACAAGTGTTGAGAGAAGCTGCAAGCTCAAGCTTCGTGGCGTCATCGACGACAGCAGACTTGGGCTTAATTCTCACACGATGAGACATCGTGGAGATGGTAGAGGTTCCCCTCCCCAACGGGGATCGTAGGGATACTGTGCAATTAAGGAGAGCTGCTATGACCTGCCAGGGCGAGAGGAATTGACAAGGTAGACATGGACAGAATGCTTCAGAGACAGGACACAGGAACAAGCAGCCACAACTGGAAGTTAAAATCTCAGATGAGCCACAGGGATGTTGGGAAGTATTTCTTCAGTGCAAGAGTTGTCAGAAAGTAGAAGAATCTAGAAAGTGATGTAGAGGAGGCAGGATCCATACATAGCTTTAAGAAATGTACAACCAACAGGGAAAGAGTGGATCTAGTAACAACCAGCAAAGAAGCAGGGCCAGGAGATATAACTCAACTCCTTGAACCACAAACAGGTGAGTACAAATAGGTAAGTGTACACACAAAAAAAATAACTGCCAGGTAATACTGTACTCTATAAGACAACTATTAACACTATAGCTACCTTGATACCGGAACTTTCTTTCAATTGGACGACCTGTGGCAGAAGAACAGTTAGCAACTTTACAGTAGTAATCATGAAGTTTGCTAAACTGTCTTTTCAATCTGAAACAAAATAATTTTAATCAGTAACATAATTAAGAAAATTCACATATCTAAGAAATAATGAAATGGCACAATATCATGACTGGAACAATACACAAATAACCCACACAGAGGAGACAAACTTATGACGACATTTCGATTCGACTTGGATCATTAACTAATCAATGGTTCAAGTACAGCCGAAATGTTGTCATAAATTTGTCTCCTATATATGGGTTATTTGTGCACTTATCAAAGACTTCAGTTCAATTACAAGTTCTCATTAAATTATATTATAATTACTTCTCATTAAATTATATTATAATGGACTTCCAGCAGGCATGCGTGAGCGTGTTTGATAGGAGTGAATGGAGACAAATGGTTTTTAATACTTGACGTGCTGTTGGAGTGTGAGCAAAGTAACATTTATGAAGGGATTCAGGGAAACCGGCAGGCCGGACTTGAGTCCTGGAGATGGGAAGTACAGTGCCTGCACTCTGAAGGAGGGGTGTTAATGTTGCAGTTTAAAAACTGTAGTGTAAAGCACCCTTCTGGCAAGACAGTGATGGAGTGAATGATGGTGAAAGTTTTTCTTTTTCGGGCCACCCTGCCTTGGTGGGAATCGGCCAGTGTGATAATAATAATAAATAAATTACTGCTGCTCTTTGCACATGCAGTGTGCAAAGAGCAGCAGGAACTTACCTTCCCATTAATGTATGCCAATACAGTAGGGCCCCACTTATACGGCGGGTTAGGTTCCAGGCTACCGCCGTAAAGCGGAAATCGCCGTAAAGTGGAACACCCTTTTTTTCCACTTATAAATGCATACAAACACTAGATAACAAGTTTACACTAACATATATTAAGTTAGCAATAGAACCAGGCATCAAAAAACAATAAAAAGGTACAATACACACATAGTGCACTCATTACTTACCTTAAAATATTTATAGTCTTAATCTAGGGTGAGACAAGTAGTATTTATTGTAAGAAATCAAGTGTGGTATGTATTGTAATAGCCTCACCAGGCCACCCCACCCACACATACTATTCTATGATATTTAAGCATCCCAGAGCGATAAAATGTATATACAGTTCACTCATTACTTACCTTAAAATATTTGTAGTCTTAATGTAGGGTCAGGAGTAAGTAAATGAGATAAAACGAATAAATGAGAGAGAGAAAGAATGAATACATGAGAGGGGGCAGGCGCAGTTATGTAAACAAACCAGGCGAAGGTAAGTTTTGTAAACAAACGAAGTGTACACGTCTGGTTTGTGTACAAGTTACATTGTGTACAGGTTGTCTCTACATTGATACGGTAGAATTAATAAAGAAGAACACTCCCATTCTCATGTAACATCATTTTGAGAAGAAATGAAGCTCTGAGTGAAGGCAATGGAAATAAGTCACACTGACTTTTTTGGGTTATCCTAGGTTCTCTACACGTATGTTGTTATGTATGATAATCTATGTAACTGTATTTGTGTATACCTGAATAAACTTCACTTACATACATACGAAAGGAATAATTTTCTACAGTTACCCCCAGTAACACATTTACTCTTATGTTAGATTAGAGAAAATGTTATTCTTGGCGTCACTTGTACAAGTTATGTGGCTCCCACATCTTATATTTATGTTTATTTATTCTATTGTGGGGTGTATTTATCATCTTTTTATGTTTATGTATCGTGTTTATTATATAATTTTGAAAAAAATATCATGGATGGATTAATGAAAATGTGTATATTACCGTAATATACGACATTTAATGAGACTCGGTATTGTTATTATCACCACTTGTGCAAGTCGTCTGCTACGACATCTCACATTTGTTTATTTATTCTACTGTGGGGTGTATTTATCTTATTTATATGTTATGCATCGTGTTTATTATATAATTTTGAAAAAAATATCATGGATGGATTAATGAAAATGTGTATATTACCGTAATATACGACATTTAATGAGACTCAGTATTGTTATTATCACCACTTGTGCAAGTCGTCTGCTCACATCTACATTTGTTTATTTATTCTACTGTGGGGTGTATTTATCTTATTTATATGTTATGCATCGTGTTTATTTATATAATTTTGAAAAAATATCATGGATGGATTAATGAAAATGTGTATATTAACGTAATATACGACATTTAAATGACTCGATGTATGTAAGTTTATTTAGGTACAGGAATACATAAGTATAATTATCAGAGTATATATAAAATATGAAATAACTTTTAAAAACATTTGAAATTTTGGAGTTTCCAGACAAAATGGAGAGACTTAGTGCTTACTGAGCTCATGGAGAATGTAAACAAACAGGGTGGGGCACGGTGACCGTATTAGAAAGTCAGGTGGGGGGAGCCGTATAGTGAGTTTTGGTCATAATTTGAAATGTCCGTATTAGCGGAACGCCGTAAAGCGGAACGCCGTAAAGCGGGGCCCTCCTGTATATGATAAAATGCTTATCTTCTAGAAGATAAACATTATACAGGCACTCCTCACTTAACAGCCTACCTATTTAACCCTATGAGTGTTGAGACCCCTGCTTGCAAACTTGCTCATAGTGTCTAAGAATTTAAAAAAAAAAAAAATTCTTATGAATAAACAAAGAATCTTTTTCCGAAGGTAATGAAACCAAAAGTTCGAAATTTGATGGAAAACTTACAAAATTACACTCTTGCGAACTTAGAGGTCTTGGCGATATTTACGCATCAGCAATTTCACCCAGTCTGAGCCCTATATTTAAAACAATGAAACCCACTATCATTATAGTATGCTCCTCACTTAGCAACAAGTTTGTTTAACAATGTGGTCTTAGGAACGAAACTCCGTTGTTAAGTGAGGAGAGGCTGTGCTAAAAATGTTATATTTGGTACAAAGGTGACATTAAAACAGTATCTAAAGATGGCTGGCACAATCCCACTGCCAGTACAGCAATTGAAATATCTTCATATTTGACAGTGTCCAAATACTGGTTGTAAGTCTGAGACTCTTGTGGGCTTGGTTTATTCACATCAATGTCTATTGTATCTAAATTCCACAACTTATCAACTGGTTCATTCATTTCTTCCAGTAATGATAATTTTTGCTGTGGCACATGATCAGTGGTTATTCTTGTAACTAAAACATTTTCCAGTGAATCAATATCAGCTTCTATCCCACTTTGAGAGGGAATTGGACCACATACCATGTGGCCCCCAGCAGTTTTTAGCAAGTGAACATCATGGTTACTTACTATATTTTGCACAAAACAGTGATAATAATCACCTCCAGTGATTAAAACAATTGGACTAACAGTGTCCATCTGTATGCCTGGACAGGCTAACTTGACCTTGGCTGCCTTTAGTGCTGCAACTGTTTCTTTTAGTCCCCTGATCTGCACAGACTTAGGCAAATCATCTACTACCACAGTTTCCACTGTCTTTTTCCTGTTTCCTAGACCAACAGTGAATCTGGCTAGGTCATATGTCCATCAGAGGGCTGAGAGAAAGGGCTTAGAGATACCCCATTTACTGGAGAATTTTCTCCACGGCCCCACTTATACAGTGGGTTAGGTTCCCCCTACTGCCATAAAGTGTATCACTTTTTTTCTTTTTCTCACTTTTATATGCATACAAATGCCTGATAACATGTTTACACTATCATATATTATGTTACAATAGAACTAGGCATAAAAACAAAAAAGGTAATATGAATATACAGTACATTCATTATGTACCTTAAAATATTTGTAGTCTTAATGTAGGTTAGAGGTGAGTAGTATTTATTGTCAGAAGCCAGGTATGGTAGTTTTTCTATGAATGTATATTATTGTTTATGCGATATGTAGCATATTTATAAGTTTTGAAAAAATGTCATAGATGGATTAATGAAAATGCCTATAATAATGCAATACACGACATTTATAGCATTCTGCAGCAATTATTGCTATTATTACAGCTTTTTACATAGTAATGTACAGTGGACCCCCGGTTATTGTAATTAATCCATTCCAGAGAGTGTGACCAAAGCCAAATTTGACGACATCTGAATTCATTTTCCCCATAAGAAATAATGTAAATCTAATTAATCCTTTCCAGACACCCAAGAGTATTAACAAACATTATTTTTTTTATAGATTAAATATAGATTTACATACAAAAAAGAATGAAAAATCGAGTATAAAACAATAATATCACACCTTTATTGAAGACTCTTGTTGGTGTATGGAAGATGGGAGGAGGGGAGAGGGTTAGGGTGATGTTCCTCCACAAATGTTTGCACCTCACTCCACTTCGCACAAATGTCCTTAATCTTTGAAGAAAGCACCTTCTTCCCTCTCTCTTTCTCCTCCTCCTAGTTAAGCAATTTCCTCAGCTGGTGTACATAAGAACAAATGAAAGCAGGAACACTGCAGCAGGCCTGTTGGCCCATACTAGGCAGGTCCTTCACAAACCATCCCACTAACAGAATCGTACTTGCTCAATCCAATTTTCAATGCTCCCCTAGCAATAAGCTTTGATAATTCTATTCACTCATGTGCAAGTCCCACTCAAATCATATCATGTGTGTGGGGAAGTACCCTGCCTGGTGTGTGGGGAAGTACCCTGGTTGGTGTGTGGGGAAGTGCCCTGGCTGGTGTGTATGGGGAAGTACCCTGGCTGGTGTACATAAGAACATAAGAAAGCAGAAACACTGCAGCAAACCTGTTGGCCCATACTAGGCAAGTCCTTCACAAACCATCCCACTAACAGAATGGTATTTGCCCAACCCAATTTTCAATGCTCCCCAAGCAACAAGCTTTGATAATTCTATTCACTCATGCGCTAGTCCCACTCAAATCAAATCGTGTATGTGGGAACGTACCCTGGCTGGTGTGTTCTTTCTTGAATTCTATCATGTTTATCGCCTTCTTTACCAAAGGGCTGGCACTAGGAGCTTTCTTTTCGCCCATGGTGGTTTATATAGCAGCTGCAAGCACTAAAACGAATGGAACATTACGAAATGTATCATATGAACGCGTGGAATCG